AAAAAAAAAAAAAAAAAAAAAAAAAAAAAAAAAAGAAAAAAAGAAAACAACAACAACAAAAAAAAAACAAAGGAAAAAAAACAACAACCAAGGAATCCATGCATGGAAACATTTACTATCCTCTGCCAAGAAATATATTAAATTGGAGGGAGGACTGTTGAGGGATAAATAAACAAACAGAAATATATAGGCCGGGCACGGTGGCTCACACCTGTAATTCCAGCACCTTGGGAGGGGATCACGCCACTGCATTCCAGCTTGGGTGACAGAGAAAGACTTTGTCTCAAAAAAAAAAAAAGATAAATATATAAAACTGACCCTATTGGTAGGTTTTTAAAAAGTTTCTAAGCCAACTAGTGACCTTCCTTCGATAACATATTCCCTTGATGTATGTTTCTTTGTATTTTTTGCTCTGTCGCCCGGGCTGGAGTGCAGTGGTGTGATCTCAGCTGACCGCAACCTCCGCCACCCAGGTTCAAGAGATTCTCCTGCCTCAGCCTCCTGAGTAGCTGGGACTACAAGAGCACACCACCACACCCATTTTTTTGTATTTTTAGTAGAGACGGGGTTTCACCATGTTGGCCCAGGATGGTCTTGATCTCTTGACCTCGTGATCTGCCTGCCTCGGCCTCCCAAAGTGCTGGGATTACAGGCATGAGCCATTATTTCCATTCCTTTGATTTCAACTTCTCTGTGTCTTTGACACACAATGTATTACTAAACATGTTTGGTCTCTTTTTTTTTTTTTGAAATGGAGTCCTGCTCTCTCACGCACGCTGGAGTGCAATGGTGCCATCTCGGCTCACTACAACCTCTGCCTCCTGAGTTCAAGTGATTCTCCTGCCTCAGCCTCCCAAGTAGCTGGGATTACAGGTGTACGCCACCACTCCTGGCTAATTTTTTGTATTTTTAGTAGAGACAAGGTCTTGCTATGTTCACCTGGCTGGTCTTGAACTCCTGAAGTCAAGTGATCCACCTACCTCGGCCTCCCAAAGTGGGATTACAGGCCATGAGCCACTGTGCCCAGCCTTGTTTTATTTTCTTGTGTGTGTGTTTTGAGACAAGCTCTTGCTCTGTCACCCAGGCTGCAGTGCAGTGCACAATTATAGCTCACTGCAGCCTCAAACTCCTGTGCTCAAGGGATCCTTCCACCTCAGCCTCCCAAGTAGCTGGAACTGCAAGCACAAGCTACCATGCCCAGCTAATTTAAAAAGAAAAATTTGTAGAGACAGGAGTCTTGCTATGTTGACCAGGCTGGTCTTAAACTCCTATCCTTAAGCAATCTTCCCACCTCAGCTTTCCAAAATGCTGGGATTACAGGTATAAGTCACCATGCCTGACTCTTCTCTTTCCAAGAGACAGGGTCTCCAGCCTGACCAACATGGAGAAACCCTGTCTCTACTAAAAATACAAAATTAGCTGGGCATGGTGGCACATGCCTCTAATCCCAGCTACTCGGGAGGCTGAGGCAGGAGAACTGCTTGAACCCGGGAGGCAGAGGTTGTGGTGAGCCGAGATTGTGCCACTGCACTCCAGCCTGGGCAACAAGAGTGAAACTCTGTCTCAAAAAAAAAAAAAAAAAGAGACAGGGTCTCACTCTGTTGCCCAGGCTGGAGAGAAATGATGCAATCATGGCTCACAGTAACTTTGAACTCCTGGGCTCAAGCAAGCTTCCTCCCTCAGCCTTCTGAAGTAGCTAGGACTATAGGCACACGCCACTGTATATTCCTGGTGTGATTTGTCTTTTAAAGTCTGATCTGAGAATTTGTCTTTAGGTTGGTAAATTTAACTGATCTAAAGTGATTCTAATGCTGTTATTAGACTTAAACGAATTTAATTCAGCCTCCTTATTTCAGGTTTTCTTTTTTTTTCCCCCCTTTTTCCACATGTTCTAACACGTTTTCTAATTACCATACTACTTAGTTTTTTTCCCCCCTTCATTCTTGCCTTCCATTAAGTTTCCTTTTGCAGGTGTGGCAGTTTGCTAGTCACCTCCTGATAGCTATTTTCCCCTCCTTCCTTAGTTTGAGAACCCCAATTTTTAGTTGGACATGATGCAGTCCTGCTATACAGTATATCTCAGCCTTCCTGAAAGTCGGGTATTGTCATATGATTAGCCAATGAGATGTAAAAGAAAGTTTGATGTATGATATCTGAGAAATGTCCTAAAAAGGAAGCGGTAGGTCCTCCTTCCCTTTTCCCTCTCCCAGCTACTGGAATGCAGGTCTAATTACTGCAGTTCTAGCTATCACCTCGGACCAGAAGTGGCCATCTTTGAAGTAGAAGCCATACACCGTAAAGCAAAATTGTCAGACAAAACAGCTGGGTTTAATATTGCCATGGAGCTGCTACATCAGCAACGGACTGACTGCCTACGTCAAAAATTCTTTTCAGAAAGATGTAAGCCTCCATCTTGCTTAATACGCTAATTTGCAGATTTTTCTTACCTGCCAGCAAGCCTTTCCTAACTGACATAGCATGTTTCAAAGTTATACATTCAATTTTCCATTTCTATTAGTTGTTCCATTAACTTATTAGGATCTCTACTTTTATTTTTCCCCATAAATTACATGAACTTACAATTGTTCACCTTTCTCATCCCCAAGAAGAGTAGTTCTGGACATTCTCATCTCTCTCTGCTCTATACTAATTCCTACCCCCTCACCTATGTTGGCATTACCCAGAATTTATCTCTGGAATATTGCAGATATTAGATGCTTTCTTAAACCTTGCTTATTATTATTGTACCTTTATTTTTTTTTCCTAAGACAGAGTCTCACTGTATTGCCCAAGTTGGAGTGCAGTGGCATGATCCAGGCTCACTGCAAACACCATTCTCATGCCTCAGCCTCCCAAGTAGCTGAAATTACAGACATGCACCACCACACCTGGCTAATTTTGTATTTTTAGTAGAGACGGGGTTTCTCCATGTTGGTCAGGCTGGTCTCGAACTACCAACCTCAGGTGCTCAGTCCACCTCAGCCTCCCAAAGTGCTGGGATTACAGGCATGAGCCACCGCACGGGCCTTTTTTTAAAAAAAAGAGAGATGGGGTCTTGCTGTCACCCAGGCAGGAGTGCAATGGCAAAATCATAGCTCACTGCAGCCTCAAACTCCTGGACTCAAGCAATGCTCCCATCTGAGCCTGTCAGGTAGCTGGGACTACAGGCACTCACCATCATGCTTAATCCCATCTGCAAAGTCCCTTTTGCCATGTCACCTGACATAGTGAGAGATTCTGAAACTGACTCTAGGAATTAGGATATGGATATCTCAGGGTGAAGATGAGCACAGCTATGCCTACCACAGCGATTTTATTCATCTTGTCAACAACTGGCACCCAGGGTTTCTTAAACTGGAGTCCATGATTGAACTCCAGGGGTCTAACATTTCTTCTCTTAAGAACTCAGTTTTCATGGTTCTCAAATGAGCTAGGAGCTCCACTACTATGTAATGGTCACAGTCCAAGGCCTGCCAGAAGGAAAAGGACAGAGTGCAACATTGTTCCCATAACTACTGGAACACAGATATAATTTCCAAAACTTATACCATAAGGAAAATTCATCACTTCTTTATCTCCCTTTCTAGGAACATGCACAGTTCCACATACCACATGAACATCTCCTGAGACAGATGTGTCTTTAGTCCAAGTTTTGTAGCTGAACAATTCACCCAGCAAGCTCCCAGGGCAACAAAGAGTAACAGGCCACTGGGCAGAAACAGGTGGAATCAAGCTATCACCTTTTGTTGTTTTTTTGGGGTCAGAGTCTTGCACTGTCACCCAGGTTGGAGTGAAATGGTGCGATCTCAGCTCACTGCAACCTTCACCTCCTGGATTCAAGTGACTTTCGAGCCTCAGCCTCCCGAGTAGCTGGGATTACAGGCGCCTGCCACCACACCTGGCTAATTTTTGTATTTTTAGTAGAGACAGGGTTTTACCATGTTGGCCAGGCTGGTCTCAAACTCCTGGCCTCAGGTGATCCCCTTGCCTCAGCCTCTCAAAGTGCTGAGATTACAGGCATGAGCCACCATGTTCAGGCCTCAACTATCACTTTTAAGTCATATAAAACCCCATGCCTTAGCCCTCCTCTTATCCATCAAGGCCTCTTACTACAGGTGAAGAAAATAAAAGTGTGACAAAAACAAAGCAACCTCTTGGTAGAGCAGCAACCTTAGACTTGATCCCTCAGATCCCTTCCTCCTTTTCTCATTCTCCACGAGGAAAGGCTCGCCACCTTGCTGAGATATCCTGACAGGTTTCCCTTAGATGCCGCCCTACTACCAAAAGCCAGGGTCTTCATCCAGAAGCAGGAACTCTGGATATATAAAATAGGCATTTTTCATCTAAATCAGAACAGTTTTTCTTAGTACAAGTACTGCCTTAGGAAAGACTGTCTCTTTTGCACGTGTGAGCCTATGACAAGGGAGAAAAAATTCACTTACTTTGACTGCAAGGTCTGCCTGGGCCATGTGCCATCTTCATTTTGAGGCTCAATTACTAGCACCTGAGTAAAAGGGGAAACCAAATGAGGAGAGTTCAAACCACTGCATTTCCAACATGCTGAGAAGCAGAAAGAATCTGGCCACACACCCTGGGCAGAGCTACCTGCTGGGGAATGGCGTGGGCCCTCCTACCTGACCCTGGTATAGCCCAGCATCCTGGACAGTGTTGTCTAGCTTGCTCAACTGCTCGTAGGTGTTGCTCATGTATTTGTTCCAGAGCCGTGTTTCACGCTCCGCAGGGATGTTGAACAGCTTCCGCATCTCTTTCTCAATGGTTGCTAGGAACAGGCAGAAATATCACTTGGGGCTTTGTCCACATGCAAGGCTAAAGACAGCCATGGCAAACTAATGCTCATCTTCCTTCTTTTCAGATGCTCACAGGTGCTCTGGATCAACCCCGATAACTCTTAAAATCAGTCATCTCCCATGGGTGGCCTCTTGCACTCATACGCCTGGAAAGTCTCCCTGTGCTACTTCTCTAACGTTTGTCTCTCAATTACAGCGCAAAAACAACATAGAAAGTGAGAAAGCTTATCTTTGGAGTTAACTCAGATATGGCTTCAAAAGCTAGCTCCGCCATTTCCTGGCTGCGATTTGTTTTTTTTTTTTTTTTTAGAGACAGGATCTTGCTCTGACACCCAGGCTGCAGTGCAGTGGTGGGATTGTAGCTCACTGTAAACCTTTCTGAGATTTTTTTTTTTTTTTTTTGAGACGGAGTCTGGCTCTGTCACCCAGGCTGGAGTGCAGTGGCCGGATCTCAGCTCACTGCAAGCTCCGCCTCCCAGGTTCATGCCATTCTCCTGCCTCAGCCTCCCGAGTAGCTGGGACTACAGGCGCCCGCCACCTCGCCCGGCTAGTTTTTTGTATTTTTTTTTTTTAGTAGAGACAGGGTTTCACTGTGTTAGCCAGGATGGTCTTGATCTCCTGACCTCGTGATCCACCCGTCTTGGCCTTCCAAAGTGCTGGGATTACAGGCTTGAGCCACCGCGCCCGGCCTGAGATTTTTAAATAAGTTATTTTTAAACTTCTCTGGATCTACATTTCGTTATCTTCATTATCATAGACAAATGGGCAAGCAGCAGGCCCAGAGTTCTCTCCATAAGAATTCCCTGGGGGAACAGGCTCCCAGGTCAGGACTGGCAGCCACAGTTCAAGATGATTTGGGAACAAATCTAAAGAGGGCATATAAAATAATGCCCTCTTCCCTCCCATCAGCCACAGTGTTCTATACTCTCTCACCACATACCAGGGACCCCAGCCCAGCCTCTCACCAATGGTGTCTGCCTTGCTGAAATGGCAACTCAGCACATTGGTGGGGTCGCTGTTCTCACAGAGCTTCAGTTCCAGCAAATACACCTCGACTTTGCAGTGCTTGACAAACAGGCCATGCTCCACGACCTATGAACAAGAGGCAGGGGTGAAGGTATAGTGGTTTTGCAGCTGGGCAGTCTTGGATGAAGCACATCTTATCAAAAGCAAAAAGCAGAAAACTCATGATAATCAGTTTCCTTTACTGATCAAGGGATCAAAAGAACAGATTTTTAAAGCCACCAGTGCTGGACCAGGAGTTTAAAAATCTTTTTTCTGGCTGGGTGTGGTAGCTCACGCCTGTAATCCCAACACTCTGGGAAGCCGAGGTGGGTGGATCATTTGAGGTCAGGAATTCGAGACCAGCCTGACCAACATGGTTAAACCCCATTTCTACTAAAAATACAAAAATTAGTCGGGCATGGTGGCATGTGCCTGTAATCCCAACTACTCAGGAAGCTAAGACAGGGGAATCGCTTGAACCTGGGAGGCAGAAGTTGCAGTGAGCCAAGATCACTCCATCGCACTCCAATGTGGGCGACACAGCAAGACTCTGTCCCCCGCAAAAAAATATATATATATATATTTTCTACCCACTAAGACCAAGAGTATCTTGATGAAATCAGAGAGAAGCCTATTCTTCATTGTTTTTTGTTTTTAAGACGGAGTCTTGCTCTGTCACCAGCCTGGAGTGCAGTGGCGGGATGTCGGCTCACTACAACCTGCATCTCCTAGGTTCAAGAGATTCTCCTGACTCAGCCTCCCGAGTAGCTGGAACTATAGGGGCCCACCACCATGCCCAGCTAATTTTTGTATTTTTAGTAGAGATGGGGTTTCACCATATTAGCCAGGATGGTCTTGATCTCCTGACCTTGTGATCTGCCCGCCTCGGCCTCCCAAAGTGCTGGGATTACAGATGTAAGCCACCGCGCCTGGCCAAGACTCTTTTTTTTTTTTTGAGACGGAGTCTCGCTCTGTTGCCAGGCTGGAGTACAGTGGCACCATCTTGGCTGACTGCAACCTCCGCCTCCTGGGTTCAAGCAATTCTCTTGCCTCAGCCTCCTGAGTAGCTGGGACTACAGGCATGTGCCACCACGCATAGTTAATTTTTGTATTTTTAGTAGAGATGAGGTTTCACCATGTTGGCCAGGATGGTCTTGATCTCCTGACCTCGTGATCTGCCTGCCTCAGTCTCCCAAAGTGCTGGGATTACCGGTGTGAGCCACTGCACCTGGCTCAAAGACTCTTAAGCATAGAGGGAAAAGCAGTATCATAAAGGTTTTCTAAGATAAACAAGACGCAAGACATTAATTATGTCCATATGCCCCCAGTGAACTTTCTCTCATAGAATTTTCCAGAAAGTGCTCTCACAGCACTGCTGGGCACATTCCAAGCCACTGGGCAGCTCTGATGTTTAGAGGCCACTCATAACATCCTGAATGAGCAACTTTGCTCACAACCACAATTTCCTAAAGAGAATCAGAAACAGGCCAGGCGTGGTGGCTCATACCTGTAATCCCAGCACTTTGGGAGGCCGGGTCAGGCGGATCACAAGGTCAGGAGTTTGAGACCAGACTGGCCAACATGGCGAAACCCTGTCTCTACTAAAAATACAAAAATTGGCTGGGCATAGTGGCAGGCGCCTGTAATCCCAGCTACTCTGGAGGCTGAGGCAGGAGAATCACTTGAACCCAGGCAGCAAGGCTGCAGTGAGCCAAGATTGTGCTGTTGCACTCCAGCCTTGGCAACAAGAGACTCCATTTCAAAAAAAAAAAAAAAAAGAGAGATCCAGAAACAAGGCCTCAAGCATCACTATTCAACCACTGAGGTATGTTCATTTTCCTAGCAAATACTAGTCAGTGTCCAACAGAAAGCACCTGCAGACAGTAAAGAGCAAGTGGGACGATTCACATAACTCACTTTTCTGACGATGGGTTGCTGCCCTTCTACACAGCCGTACCAGTTTAGTAATTTATTCCAGGCCTCGGTGGGGACCAATACATAGTCCAATTCATCAATTAAGTGTTCTTTCAAGGTCTGACTCTCAGGATCTAAAAAAGGAAAAGAGCACGTAAGTCACTGCTCTTCACCCCAGAAATGATGGTTTTACATGATTTCCATGTACTTTTCAGAAATAAAAAAATTATTTACAGAAAGAAACAGGTAAGACATTCCAAAATTCTGTCACTGGTCATTATACAGAGCAGACTTTTGTCTTTATCCATGTTTTGTCTTTATCCATGAACATTTTATGAGGAATTTGTATTTCTTCTATAATTAGAGGGAGAGAAGAGGATAAAAATGAAAAACTCAGTCGGGTGCGGTGGCTCACGCCTGTAATCCCAGCACCTTCGGAGTCCAAGGCAGGCGGATCACGAGGTCAGGAGATCGAGACCATCCTGGCTAACATGGTGAAACCCCGTCTCTACTAAAAATACAAAAAAATAGCTGGGCATGGTGGCGGGCACCTGTAGTCCCAGTTACTTGGGAGACTGAGGCAGGAGAACGGTGTGAACCCGGGAGGCAGAGCTTGCAGTGAGCTGAGATTGTGCCACTGCACTCCAGCCTGGATGACAGAGCTAGACTCCGTCTCAAAAAACAAAGAAAAAGAAAAGAAAAACTCCAGGCCGGGTAAGGTGCTCACGCCTGCAATCCTAGCACTTTGGGAGGCTGAGGTGGGTGGATCACAAGGTCAGGAGTTTGAGACCAGCCTGGCCAACATGGTGAAACCCCATCCCCACTAAAAATACGAAAATTAGCTGGGTGTGGTGGCGTGTGCCTGTAATCCCAGCTACTCAGGAGGCTGAGGCTTCTAGAAGAATCGCTTGAACCTGGGAGAGTGGAGGTTGCGGTGAGCTGAGATCATGCCACTGCACTCCGACCTGTGTGACAGAGCGAAATTCCGTCTCAAAAAAAAAAAAACCTTCAATTTACATTTACAAAGGGCTTCCATATTCCACAATAAAAATTGTTCATTATGACTATCTATCTATCTATCTATCTATCTATCTATCTATATATATATATATTTTTTTTTTTTTTTTTTTTTTTGAGGTGGAGTCTTGCTCTGTTGCCCATGCTGGAGTGCAGTGGCATAATCTCGGCTCACTGCAACCTCCGCCTCCCAGGTTCAAACCATTCTCCCGAGTAGCTGGGACTAAAGGCGCCCACCACCATGCCTGCCTAATTTTTCTTTTTTCTTTGTTTTGAGACAGAGTCTTGTTCTGTCACCCAGGTTGGGGTGCAGTGGCATGATCTCAGCTCACTGCAACCTCTGCCTCCTGGGTTCAAGCAATTCTCCTGCCTGAGCCTCAAGAGTAGCTGGGACTACAGGCACATGCCACCATGCCCGGCTGATTTTTCATATTTTTAGTAGAAACAGGGCTTCACCGTGTTAGCCAGGATGGTCTCAATCTCCTGCCCTCGTGATCCACCCATCTTGGCCTCCCAAAGTGCTGGGATGACAGGCATAAGCCACTGCGCCTGGCCTAATTTTTGTGTTTTTAATAGAGATGGGGTTTCACCAGGTTGGCCAGGCTGGTCTGAAACTCCCAACCTCAGGTGATCCACCCACCTCAGCCTCCCAAAGTGCTGGGATTACAGGAGTGAGCCACCACATCCAGATGTCAAAATATTCTTTTTTTTTTTTTGAGATGGAGTCTTGCTCTGTTGCCCAGGCTAGAGTGCAGCGATGTTGGCTCACTGAAACCTCCACCTCCCAAGTTCAAGCAATTCTCCTGCCTCAGCCTCCCAAGTAACTGGGATTACAGGCGCCTGCCACTGGGCCTGGCTAATTTTTGTATTTTTAGTAGAGAAAGGTTTTCACCATCTTGGCCAGCCTGATCTCAAACTCCTGACCTCATGATCCACCCACCTTGGCCTCCCAAAGTATTGGGAAACAGGTGTGAGCAACTGCACCCAGCCAAAATATTCTTAATGATAACACATTAAAATCAGAAATTGTCTTCCTCTGAAATATTTCTTAAGAAACTAAATAAACAAGGCACTGAAGTTAAATTCATTTAACCAACAGTCAATTAGCATTTTTAGCTTTAAACACTCTAAATCAAAGCCTAGCTGCATAATCCCCTGTGGAGTGGAGAGAGAACATATGCAACATGTTAAACATTCATATTACACCCACCAAACAGGCAATAGTACTCAGAGTCAGAACTGAACACCCATGGTCTGAAATACACTTGCTCAAAGAAAGGGAAGACTGATCACCTGCCAAGTGTGATGGGAGCTTCCCTGCCAAGTCTATGCCCATCAACACCCACTCAGAGAACAGTGGAAACCACTGTTCTCCCGATGACCAGTGAGGCCATGAAACTGTAAAAGTAAAATATACCCGCTATGGTGCAACTTATCTGTAACTCAAGGCAAAACAATGTTTAAAAAAAAAAAAAAATTGGCTGGGCACAGTGACTCACGCCTGTAATCCCAGTACTTTGGGAGGCTGAGGCGGGTGGATCATGAGGTTAAGAGATCGAGACCATCCTGGCCAACATGGTGAAACTCTACTAGCATTTTTAGTCTCTACTAAAAATACAAAAACTCCCAGCACTCTGGGAGGCCGAGACGGGTGGATCACGAGGTCAGGAGATCGAGACCATCCTGGCTAACCTGGTGAAACCCCATCTCTACTAAAAAATACAAAAAACTAGCCGGGCGCGGTGGCGAGCGCCTGTAGTCCCAGCTACTTGGGAGGCTGAGGCAGGAGAATGGCGTAAACCCGGGAGGCGGAGCTTGCAGCGAGCTGAGATCGGGCCACTGCACTCCAGCCTGGGTGACAGAGCGAGACTCCGCCTCAAAAAAAAAAAAAAAAAAAAACAACAAAAACTAGCTGGGCGTGGTAGCACGCACCTATAGTCCCAGCTACTTGGGAGGCTGAGACAGGAGAATTGCTTGAACCCAGGAGGCAGAGGTTGCAGTGAGCCAAGATTGCACCACTGCACTCCAGCCTGGTGACAGAGTGAGACTCCATCTCAAAAATAAATAAATAAATCATACATGAGGTGGTTAGGGTTTCCCACCATCCCTCTGACTAGTTTACAAGCCTTTTTCAGGGCAGGGTTCCTTTGTTGTCATTTCAACAATGCTCATAACATCTTCACCAGATGTAGATTCCATCTCAAGAAACCATTTTCTTTGCTCACCCACAAGAATCAACTCCTCATCCATTCAAGTTTTATCATAAGATTAAAGCAATTCAGGCCAGGCAAGTTGGCTTATGCCTATAATTCCAGCACTTTGGGAGGCCAAAGCAGGCGGATCACTTGAGGTCAGGAATTCAAGATCAGCCTGGCCAACATGGTGAAACCCTGTTTCTAGTAAAAATACAAAAATTAGCTGGCCATGGTGACGTGTGCCTGCAGTCCCAGCTACTCGGGAGGCTGAGGCATGAGAATTGCTTGAACCCAGGAGGTGGAGACTGCAGGGAGCTGAGATTACCCCACTGTACTCAAGCCTGGGTGACAGAGCAAGACTCTGTCTCAAAATAAATAAAAATAAATTAAAATTAAAATTAAAAAGAGGCCAGGCACAGTGGCTCACGCCTGTAATCCCAGCACTCTCAGAGGCCAAGGTGGGCAGATCATGAGGTCAGGAGTTTGAGACCACTCTGGCCAGCATGGTGAAACCCCAACTCTACTACAAATACAAAAATTAGCTGGGTGTGGTGGTGCACACCTGTAGTCCCAGCTACTCGGGAGGCTGAGGCAAGAGAATTGCTTGAACCCAGGAGGCAGAGGTTGCAGTGAGCCAAGATTGCCCTTCTGCACTCCAGCCTGGGCGACAGAGTGAGACTCCATCTCAAAAAATAAAAATAGAAATAAAAATAAAAAATAAAGCAATTCAGTCACATCTTCAGGCTTCACTTCTAAGTCTAGTTCTCTTGCTATTTCCACTTTTGCAGTTACTTCCCCGACTGATGTCTTGAGCTACTTGAAGTCATCTGTAAGTGTTGGAATGAACTTCTTCCAAACTCTTATTAATGTTGATTTCAACCTCCTCCCATGAATCATGAATGTTTTTATGCATGTGTGTGGGCAGGTGGGAGTGGCAGGCCTTACTCTATAACCCAGGCTGGAGTGCAATGGCATGATCACAGCTCACTGCAGCTTCGACCTCCCAGACTCAAGCAATCCTCCTGCCTTAGTCTCCCAAGTAGCTAGAACTACAGGTGCATGCCACCACACCTAGCTAGTTTTTGTAATTTTTATAGGGATGGGGTTTTGCCAAGTTGCCCACCCTAGTCTCCAACTCCTGGGTTCAAAGGATCCACTCACTTCAGCCTGCCAAAGTGCTGGGATTACAGGTGTAAGCCACTGCACCAGGTGGAATCATGAATATTCTTAATGGCATCTAGAATGGCAAATCCTTTCCAAAAGGTTTTTAATTTAATTTGCTTCAGGAGAATCACTATCTATGGCAGATAAAGTCTTATAAAATGTGTTTCTTAAATAATAAGACTTGAAAGTTGAAATCAAATCAGGCACGATGGCTCACACCTGTAATCCCAGCACTTTGGCAGGCTGAGGCAGGAGGATCACTTGAGGTCAGGAGTTCGAGACCAGCCTGGCCAACATGGTGAAACCCAGTCTCTACTAAAAATACAAAAATTAGCGGGGCAGAGGGAACGGGCACCTGTAATCCCAGCTACTCGGGAGGCTGAGGCAGGAGAATCACTTGAACCCGGGAGGAGGAGGCAGAAGAATCGCTTCAACCTGGGAGGGAAAGGTTGCAAGGAGCCGAGATTGAGCCACTGCACTCCAGTCCGGACAACAGAGTGAGACTCTGTCTCAAAAAAAAGAGAAAGGTAAAATTACTTCTTGACTCACAGGCTGCAGAATGGATGTTTTTAGTAGGCATGAAACAACATTAATCTCCTCATGCATCTCCATCAGAGCTCTTGGGTAACTAGGTACATTGCAATGAAGCAGTAACTTTTTTTTTTTTTTTTTTTGAGATGGAGTCTCACACGTTCCCCAGGCTGGAGTTCAGTGGCACGATCTCAGCTCACTGTAAGCTCCACCTCTCAACTTCATGC